ACACACACACACACACACACACACACACACACACATATAAAACCAGATGGAAGTCAATCTGCTTCTTAACAATTGCTTTCATGAGAAAGAGACACAGAGAAAGAGAGAGAGAGAAGCACCCTCATCAGGACCTCGCCCTGTGAGCCTCTCCCTAGCTCTCCTACCAGCCAGGATCGTGGGCATGCTTGCAGGGTAGCCAGTGTGTAAAAACTGACTAGGGAAACAAACCTCGATCTTCCCTGTGGCCTTAAGGATTGCAGAGTGTCAGACTACCACTGCACCACCAGGACTAGGACCCAGCCTGCTTTGTAGAATTAGCGTGCACAGAGATTCTGCATAGAATGCTGTGCCCTGAAAACCTAAGTTCTAAATAGTTGCTGCAATTACTGATGAGTATTACTAATGCATGCATAAGCGTCAAATGAACATACTTGAATTACTTAGCCTTTCATAATAATTGTTTCATACACATAGAAGTTAATTCAGGGACTCTTCAATTATTCTGACTCACATTGACTCAGAAGCAACTAGAATTGATAAGTTTGGAATCACTCCATTTGCTTCAGGCCTATTTCCTGTCTCCAGCCCTATGGTACCACATGTTACTGTGTTTAGAAAGCAGTTCTGGGATACATGATAAAAGCACAGAGCCTATAAAGATGAAGAAACGGAATTTCTAATCTCTCAATTTTGTCATTTAAGGTGATAGCCTGAAAACTGTCTTTGTGTTTAAAATGTAAAAGAGAGAAACTATGCCAACTGTGAAACAAATTGTTTTTGTTTGGTAAGTGCAGATGTTAGTTTTTAATTGAGAGCCTGATGATTATTACAGGTTATTGTATGATCAGTAGTGAAAATGTTTGTCATGTAGAAGACATTGCTCCTGGTGTCAGATACTCTGGGGGTATCGCTGCATGCCCAGGCTAGATCTGAACTGCTCAGAGGATCTTGGGCCTCAGTAAAAGGCAGCTGCCTCCAGAGCTCAACCTTCTCCCCATTTGCTCTCTGCTCAGTTTTCAGACTCCCAGCAAGGAGGTGGCATAGTGGCCAGAGCTTCCAGGTATCTCAGGACTTTTTCGATCATCGCTTCTTTGACTTCAAGAGCACACAAAGTTTCAGAAAGTGAAAAACGGCTTCTGGTCTCAAGTAAGCTACAGATCCATATTTCAGAATAGATATATTTTTAAATCCCAAGTCTGACAAAAGAATTAAATTCTAGAGATGTGATTCTACCAAGGAGCTCACACAAATAGTTGCCCATTTTCTCAAATCTAGCTTAAAAAATTAGTGATTGAGGGGGTCTGAACAGTGGCCCAGTGATAAAACATGCATTTGCAAGACTGTCTCACATGGAAAGGTTCTGGGTTTGTATCTAGAGACCTCCCTGAGTACACCGAGTGTCTGTGTGCCCGTGATCCAGGGCAGGCTGAAGCAGGAGTGGACTGCAGCATCAAGACCCTGTTGGGGGTGTTGTCTCTCACTCTCTTTGATCATGGAGCAAATATATATTTAAACTTTAAAAAATAGCAGTTGAGGAAATTGATCATTTCAAATATTCTGTCATAAATTTTTTGTCTTAGATAAAATTGATGTTGATGTTCCTAAATCATAGTTTGTTTTAAATTGTACAACTACATGTAATACACACAAATACCCCCAATCTACTAACATATCTACATATACAATATTAACACTATATCATATATATATAGATACTTAATAACTGTATCTATATATGTGTATTCTATATGTGTATACTTCCTACATGCATATCAGTATAGTTTATTTATTTCTATAAAATCAAATGATGTTTGGGAGTGGTCTTTGCAAGAACATTTTAACATACAAATGCCATGTAGTATCATTACACATTGAGAGAATGGCTTGCATTTATTCCTGCTCAGAGAACTTACTACAAAGTACAGAAAAGTCCACTTTCCTCTAGAAGTTAAAAGTCCCAATCCTCAAAAAAGAAAAAAAAAATAGAAGAAAATAATTCCTAATAACAGAGAACAAATTTATGTCATAAGAAAACTGTATGTATGTTGACATTATTTTTAACTGAGTATAAAATTGTCAAAGGTCTATGTTGAAACATTATATGCAAAGATCTAAACATTACCGGGGACTACTGCAGAATGCTGGAATGCTCGTGTTGACTTTTGAAGCAATGCAAAGTGGCTCAAAGGGGTCTAGATCAATTCAGCATATCCAAAGTGAGTTTGGAACCTGCCAATACTAATCAACCAGGTCATCTTGAGTTTGCTGGACCTTAAATCCCAAGCCAGAATTGGAGTTACTTTAAGGAACCCTAAAGAGAGAGGACAATTTATGGTCTCTGTGGAATCTCTTTACATTTTAAAGAGATTTCCTAAAGCAAAACTGTCAGAGCATGTAGCCCAACTCAGACAAAATCTTCCCTGGCCCCTGTAAGAAGCCCTGAAAGAACTTCTAGAACTTCCCTAAGCCCCAAAGCCTTGAGCCCCAAATCCTGAGCAAGTGATAGTGGGAGCCCATGCAACCTGGTGCTGCCCAGCAACAGCGTCCAGAATTTTTATTTCAAAATTATCCCAAACTCCATACCAAGGCTTCCTGTAATCTCTTTCATTTCTTTTCCTTTTTAAGCTTATTTATTTCTTGAGGGAGAGAAAAAATGGAGACTCTGGTAGGATCTTGTCAAACTGTAATCCTCTACCTAACCTTCCAGCCACCCACAGTCATGGGTGTATTCAGGTAGACCCAGAATCTGAAGCCCAGGCTTTCCCTTGTAGCTCCAGTATCTTGCAGGGGCCTGTGGTTGTTAATTAGACTTCATACTATTCTCTACCTGACGCTGAATTCTCCCTGGCATCTTACCATGAGACACTCCCACGTAAGACTAGACACGTAACATAGCCTCCTCTGCAATGGTTCCATAGGGGCCGATGGAAGGCAGGAGATGGATGGGATATTGAATC